TTTCTGTCTCTCTCTGTCTTTCTGGTGAGTGCATGCGCCCTATAGCAAAAACCTCTCCAAAAAAAAAAAAGAAAAAGAAATGAAGAAACTGGGATGTGGGGAGATTAAATGACAGACCATAGACAGGGACCACATGCCTTTTTTTTTTTTTTTTGAAAGAGAAATTTTTGCTATAGTGTGCTCACCGGAGAGGCAGAGAAAGAGACAGAGAGAGAAAGTGAGAAATTACCTCCCATGCACCCAGCATAAGTTTTATGCCACAGGGTCCAGAGTTCAAACCGTGGTCTACTACATGGGAGTCTGGCAACGTAACCATTATGCCATCTGCTGGCCCCGGGATCATGTGCCTTTATCGTCAATCCCTGTCACCACAACACTAGGCCAGAATGGACACTCAGAATGTACTTGCTAAATGAATGACAGTTGTAAAGGTCACCCAGTCAGAGTCCGCAGGCCTTCTCCTATTCCAGGGTTCTTTCTCCTGACGCCACGGCTGCCTGGCGGTGAAAAATTTAAAAAGATCGCAGAGGAGCTGACAGGTCACTCAGTTGTCAGTTGATACATACTAGCTGCTGTATTCCTCCTTGTCCTTAGTAAACGGAGATCAAGGCAGCCAGACCAAAGGGCATTTTGTTTTCCTGCAAATGCAGAGTCACAGCCTGGAGAGCTTTCTTATCCTTGTGATTGGTGCATTTTTAGACAAGATTAAAGTTGACATCCCTCTGAGATGGTAGTCACGTGGAATCTGGGTTTTGGATGGGCTTTAGGCAGAGCTCTGCCCATCATCCTCCCACCCCTCAACCCACCACCCACCCGGTGATGAGTCACGGTGCATGCACGGCAACTGCCCTTCCAGGGCCGGCTGCAGGCTTTTGTTCTCGTTCATCTTGCTTTCAGCTGGTCATGTGAGAGCTCAGAGTATTAATAGACCATCGCCTGGCCTTCTGAATCTTGCTGGGGGTCAGGGGGATAAATGAAAAGCTTGGCCAGTCCCCCTAACATTTTCCCTCCTCTCTTGACTGTCATCTGCTGGTAGTGGGCAGAGCTAAACCAGACAGGCAGAGAGCATTTGGAGCAGTCGCCTCCCATGGACATGGCCTCTGCTGGCGTTTTGATGTCCTGCCTCTCTCAGCAGATGCTTGGTCAATTCCCAGAGTCCACCCTTGGATCACCAGTACTAACCAGTATAACAAACCAGCCTCACCTTCCCTTCCTAGTCAGTGTCCACATCTCTCCCTGCATGTGTGACATAGAAAAACATACAAAAATACATCATGACTTTTCCAACGGCCCAATAGTTTTGCTTGGGAGCCTGACAGGTTCCAAAGAAACTACCTATTTTCACTTTATATCAACTTGTGGTATAATTCTTTGAAAGCATGGCGTGTGTTCCTTTATTTCCCTGTGTTGAAGACTCTGCGGAGCCCTCTTGCCGGCTGTGGAGTGGTGTAGTCTCTTGGACCCCAGTTTGCTTATCTGTTAGGTGGTTGAACTAGATGATCTCTAAGAACCCTCTGGTCAACTTTAATTTTTCAAAAATAGAATCTTTGATTTTTTTTTAAAAAAAAATCTTACTATAGAAGAAAAGAAAGATTGGACTGAGGCTGCACCAACTTCTTATCTTTTTTCTTTTTGTTTGGCGACAATGGAGGACGTAGGGATGAGACAAACTCCTCCAATAAACTAACCTTCATGTAGCGCCTACTTTATGCTGGGGTAGGTGCTACGGGTTTTCTATACAATCTTTCATTTAAGGCTCACAATAGTCTTGGGAACGCTAAGTATGATTAAAATAGATGAAGAAATGGGGGCGCCAAGAAATGTAATTGAGGCAGGCCCATGACATGGTCATTAAGGCAGCAGGATCCCACATGACTAACTGCACAGTTCGAATCCCATATCCAGCAGCCTGAGAAACCCCTGGCACATGTCCATGCATGCCCCAAATCCTAAAGGAGGTAAAAATGGAGGGGAAGGGATTGCAGCATGACTACGCCCAATGCAGGGTACTTTCTTGCTTTTTATTTCTCCACCCCAGAAAAAGCACATTGTACCCTCTGATAAATTTTAAAAATAAAAACCTGGTAACTAGTCCATAATCCCAGAGTTAATAAATGGTCAAATTGAGGCTTGAACCCAAGGCTAAGAATGACAAGGATTCTAGTTCTCAGTCGCAGTGACATCACCGCCTCTGAGTGGAAACAGTCCAGACACCCCATACGTCACTGAACTTCTCTCACTTCCTGTGAGTGGCCTCTTTCTACAGGAAGTTGAGTGAATGAAAGGCCCTAGTGACAGACGTGTTTCTGGAACGCTGCATGAGCAGATACTGGATAGGACTTGCTGTTTCCCTGGAAAATGCACACAGTTGCTGAACGTGGTCTTTAGGTACCTTGTAAGCAGTCAGTGCCCATGGGGAAGAAGTTCAAATAGGGGCAGAAGCATTCTTGTGGGGGTAATTATGCAGAACTCAAATGTCTGTGGGTCACGGGAGGTTTTGTTTTCTTCTGAGCGTGTCAGTTTCACTTGCCCAAAGGACAAGTAGAATGGTTAGCCTCAGCTGAAGCCACACTCTTTATATTTCAAAGAAAAAAGCAATTGAATATTCAGCCTGATTCCTGGGTTTTGAATCACCCAGTTTTTCTTTCACTCTGAGCATCTGCTTTTTAGTGCATGGTAGTCCTGTCTGCCATTTCTCTCTCCCCGTCATCATCTGTATTCGTGTGTCATGTGACTCAAAAGCAAAGATTAGAGGAGAAAAATATCTGTCTTCTAATCCTGGTGACTTCTATTTTTATCCACAGCTGTTGGAACTGATAGCAAAGTCACAGCTCACGTCCCTGAGTGGCATCGCCCAAAAGAACTTCATGAACATTTTGGAAAAAGTGGTACTGAAAGGTGAACTCTCTCTCACTCTCTCACCCCTTTTTATAGGCATGGGGATGGGCAGATGGGCTTCCCAATAGAGTGGGCATGTCATTCAATTGAAAGGAAGGTGAACAGCTGAAAATGAGGAACTCCAGCTGCGTTTCGGGGTGCCAGATTCCAATGCACAAGCAATGCTCCAAAAAGAAAGAAATGACCCTCCTTCTCTCTTCAGTCCTTTTTGGGGGGATCATCCATTTCCCCTGAGTTAAACCTCTCAGGCTTCTCAGTATAGACACATGTCAGTCTTGGCTATGAACCTCTAGGTCCCAAATTCCTAGGAAATTGAGCTGTGCACAAAAGCAGACTCAATTCTTAGACTATTTGATCTGAAAGGAAAATTCAGTGTCTGGTTCAATTAAGCCGTTGTACATACAGAGGAACTGAGGCCCAGAAGTGATTGTCCATAATCGCACTCGTAGTCAGACAGGATTACAATCTAAGCACCTTCCTAAGCCCCTTAACCACCTGTTTTTACAGACCTTCCAAGAGGGAGGTCAGTACTGGGCAAAAGAAACAAGTTTTTGATCAGGTGAGCTATTGGCGCCCATGGAACAATGAGAAGAAAGGGGCATTATAGAAAACTAAGGAGAAGAGGACAAAGAAGTCCCTACACCATGGAAACTCTACCCATTAACCTCCAATGCAGAAACTTGGCCAAGTACAGGATAAACACCAAGGAGAAAGAAAACCATATCCCCCGAGTCAGTGCCCAGTAACCCGAGCAGAACACAGAAGAAAAGTCCATTTGTGAATATAGTCCATTTGTGTCCAAGTATCGTAACTTTGATGATTTTTTTCTTCCCCACTCAAGTCCTTGAAGACCAGCAAAACATTCGACTAATAAGGGAGCTGCTGCAGACGCTCTACACGTCCTTGTGCACACTGGTCCAGAGAGTCGGCAAGTCTGTGCTGGTCGGGAACATTAACATGTGGGTGTATCGAATGGAGACGATTCTCCACTGGCAGCAGCAGCTGAATAACATCCAGATCACCAGGGTAAGCAGGGAAGCCCGGCCCCTCCAAGCAGCTGGTTCCTCACTGAGCTGCTGCACAGCCTGGCCAGGACTGTGATTGACCCTGGTGCTGGAAGGGACCAGTCTGCTCTGATGTGATGCTTTGTGCCGTGGGCTGGGGGCCTTCCTGAGAACAGGAGGGTGGGAAGAAGAACTTGAACACAGGAGCAAAGAGTGCCACAGATGAGAGCCAGTTGAAACATAGTGGGAAAACTGGAAACTCAGATTTGGGGGAGACGCTGCCTGTTCTGCTGAAATCTTAGGGATCCGGAGAAGTCTCTTTGCCTGTCTCCTCATAACGACTGAGCTTTAGGGTACCAGCTAGAACATGGTAGAGCTGTGAAGGCAGCCCTGTGGGTGACAGGAACCAGCCTGTTAAAATTCTAGTCTCAGGTATTGGTCGTTATGACAGAGGAAGCCTATGATTAAAGATGGTGACAGGGCCGGCCCCTAGGCATGGTGGCTAAGAGAGCTGGATTCTGCATGGCCAACCACACAGTTTGAATCCTGGCTTCAGCGGCTTGAAAAACACACCGGGTACACGTGTACATGTACCCCAAATCCCAACAGGATGGAGAAATTGAGACGGGATTATAGTGAGAAGGAAGGTGATTTCTCCCTCTCTGTCTCTCTGTATCCAGCAAGTGTATGTGCTCTCTGGAAAAATATTTTAAAATTTGTAAACATACACACAGGAATATGATAAGCAACTCTCGAAGGAAAAAAAAAAAAAAACCTTGTATCATCAGCGTGGCTGTCTACACCAATAGTTTCAGAACGTAACTTGGCCCTCAGCTCTTATCCTCCTGGTAGTGAGCAGGAGGGCTAAAACACACAGAAATGTGAGAAGGAGGCTGGTGTAATCTCTTCGGGCTCACTAATGGACAGCCTCACTTAGGCAGCTCACGTCTCACTCGCTTCCTATCTCACCACTGACCACAGCTGTCGGAAGAGGTTTCCGGGAGCCACGCTGATAAAGTTTAGGGCTGCCCCATATCGGGACAAGGTAACATGAAGACAACTTCTCTGACATTTTTGCAACGACTATTTTACTGAAAGAAGTTTCAAAATGCATGTCCTTGACTTGACTTAGTGACCTCTCTGTGCCTTTATTTCTTTCCATTTTTAAGGAATTACTATTTTATTTCTTACTATTCTTTTTTTTTTTTAAATTTGCTATAGGGCACATACACTCATTGGAGAGAGACAGAGAGAGAAAGGAAAAGTGAGAAAGCAAGGCACCTCAGGAACCAGCAGTTGGTGTAATGGCTATGTCGCTGGACTCCCACGTAGTCGACTGTGGTTCGCGTCCCGGACCCGGTGGCTTAGAACTCACGCCAGGCGGGTGTGCGTGCATGCCCAAGTTCCCGAGAGGAAAATGGAGGAGAAGGGATTGCAGCGTGACCATCACCCCCCTGGGTGATTTCTCACTTTCTGTCTCTATGTCTCTCTCTGTCTGTCTGGCAAGCGCATGCGCCCTATAGCTAAGAAACCTCTCCAAAAAAAAAAAAAAGAAAGAAAGAAAGTCAGTCAGTCAGTCAGTCAGTCCTGGCCACCTGGTCCAGGACTTGAACCACAGTTAGCCATGTGGGAGTCCAGCACCTTAACCACCATGCCACCTGCTGGCCCCATGCCTTGGTTTTTTAAGTTCAAAAACAGAGAGGAAAATCAGAAGCCTCAGACTTACATGACTTCTTGAAAGTTACTTAAGCTACAATATCCACAATCAAACACATTCACACACTCATACATGCACACACACACACACACACACACACACACACACACGCATTCCCAGACCAGAGAACAAATGCAGGTCATCTTTCAGAAACTATTTCAATTATTCAATTATGTGAAGAACGTATTTATCATGAACATGCACCTTATATAATCTAGTCATTTACCCCATTCCCCATTCTCAAGTGGAGTCCTAGTTTGACCAAGTGAATTTGAGACCCAAATTTCCTGCTTATCTTTCACAGAAAACCCACTAACACTGTCAGCCTGGCTTCTGGCATTTTCTGCGGCCTGAAGTTAATACTGAATGTTTTTTCTAGGCCTAGGAGAGAATTATCCAGCTAGTGATATGAATGAGTAAATACCATTTTTCCCAAGGGCATCTGCCCTCTTGCAACTTTGGGACTCCCCTTTGGATGTTCACACTGGCCCAGAGACCAGCTCTGTTCCCTCTGTCTACCTGGTGGAAGCCCACTCTGGCCATGTGTACCCCCATATCTTGTACTTCCACAGGCTTACTTCCTCAGAGCCCTCCTTAATTAATCCACAAACACAAACACTATAGTGGGAGGTGGCCACTGTAGTTGCTATTATACTCCATGGGTAGGGGTGGGGACCAGAGACACCCAGTCACTTTCCCAGGGTTACACAATGATTAGAGCCAGAGCTGCAGCCAGAACGCTGAACTCCTTATTTCTAAAATAGACACCCTTGCTTACATCAGTGGTGTCCAACTCTCTCTCACTCTAGCTTCCTTCCAATTATTTATCAGATGATCCAGCTTAAAAAGAAAAAAGCTCTTTAATCCAATGAAATCTCATGCAGAAGAGATCAAACACTGGAGTTCAGCGCTCTCTGCTGTTCCAGGCGTTCCAGCCAAGCCCAGCTGTTCCCTGCACACTCTGAGTTTGGTCCTGCCTTGGGGCTTCTCAGCTTCCCTGACCACCCAGTCTGTGGCAACTGCTGTCACCTCACCTTCTGCAGAGCAGTTTCACAGTCTGAAAGAATCTCACATGTGCTCTTTTCTGTCTCTATCCACTGACGTAGAAACTCCACAAAGAAAGGACATAGCCGTCTTAGTCCCTGTACCTGACCCAGAGCTGAAGGCAGTCAGGAAACAGCTCAGATGAAGGAACACATAGTTGAAGGGGAGTCTCCTTGCTCTGCCTGCCCAGAGTACTTGCTCAGTGTTCAAAGGAACGTGATGGGAAATACTGCCCCGTGTTATGGATGATGGTGATGAGTTACTCGCTGCAGGATTTGGGGCAAATTATTCAACCCCTCCATGCTTCCGCTTCCTCATTTGGAAAATGGTGGCCATAAATACTTGCCTTGTAGTCGTGGTGTGAGTGTGAGTAAGTTAACGTACAGAAAGCAGTTAGAACGGTGCCTGGTCTGTAGTGTGTCAATGTATCAGCTGTTGTTAGTATTCAGGACTTGCTCTGTGCAGATCCCTCGACGTCCTTTCCATGTGTTAGTTAACTCATCTAGCGCGTATAAGTAGTTGTTATAAAGGCTACTATTCATTGCACGCTGTACTGAGTGCTTCTGTACATGATCTCATCACTCTGTCCAGCAACACCGTATGTTTTTTCCTTGTTTTATAAAGGAGAAAAATTAGACTGAGTAGTTAAGAATATTTGGGCATGGAGCCAGCAGGTGTAGCGATTACTTCACTGGACTCCCACATGACTGACTACAGTTTGGGTCCCTAACCTGGTGGCTTGAAAATCATGCCAAGCGTGTGTTCGTGCATGCCCAAAATCTCAGGAGAAGAATGGAGGAGAAGGAATTGTGGCATGGCCTTCTCTCCTTGGGGGGTGATTTCTCACTTTCCCTTCTCACTGTCTCTGTCTCTCTGCCTCTCTCCAGCAAGTTCACGTGTCAAAAGGCAAAAACCTCTTTTAAAAAATGGGTACTGGGACCTCACCACCATGACATGGCACAGAGCTTGAACCCAGGCCTATCTGCAAGGCTATGCTTTAAATTGTCACCCCCTCCTCCTTCCTGTCCTCCCCCGGCCCTCCATATCTGACCTACATTATTTTGAGGGCAATGCTGGCCACCATGGAATTCTGAAAAGCTTTAAATACAAATGCCCAACTCTTCATATTTCTTCCAGAAGGATCGAGAAATAATCTGTACTGTATTTTAAAACTTACTTTATTTTTTTTAATTGCCAGAGGACACATGTACTCGCCAGAGAAAGGGAAGAAAAAGAGGGAGGGAAAAAGCAACCCCCATGGGGCATGGTCATGCCACAGTGCCTTCTCTTTCATTTCTCTATCCCATGGAGACTTGGAGCATGTAATATGCACCCAACTCTTTTTTTTTAAGCCACCAGGGCCAGGATTCAAACCCTGGTCAGCCATGTAGGATCCAACTCTCTTAACCACTAGACTACCAGGCTAGCTCTAAAACTTAATTTTTAATGTTGTAGCCCAAAGAGATGTATGTTATTATATGAAATTTTTAAGTTTTTATTATTTTATTTTTATTTATTTATTTACATTTAATCACATGTCTTTACAAGGTACATTTCTTTTTCCGGTGCATGCATGTCAGTGAAGACAAAGGTATTACTGTATACCTTATCATCAGCAAATAGCTTCTCCTTTTTTTGTCAATTAAGCATACTTTTGCTTGTTCTTCCCTTCCCCTTTCCCCTTCCTCCCTTCCATACTAAACTTATTTTTCACATTTTATTTATTCACAAAATATCTTAAACTAAAAATATGAACAAAGCTAGAATCTAGTGACAAGTGCACTGTAATTTTCTTCTAAAACATTTTTTCTCTATTTCCCCTTTTACTAAAGAGAAGTATAAACTAACATATCTGCAAAAGAATTAGGTTAATCTCAGTTTGGTCTGTTATTTGCACAAAGCCCCATAAGAATTCAATATCTGATGCAAGGCAACAAATACTATTGTATTATTGAATTTATGCAAATAACCATTCTGTCACAAAATAAGAATGCTCACAAATATTTTCCAATTGCAATGGAGTCAGGAAGGGAAAAACGTTTATGTTTCAACTTTTAAAAAATTAACAGATTGCTGAACCTATCAACAACTCACAAGAGAACCAAAATCCTTAAGTCTGGAAGATAAAGCATAGAAGAAAATCAGTAATATTTTAGACAAAAGTCATAGAATTCTATTTCACCAATTCAGTCTCATGTAATCTCTCTTTTCTTGAATTTGCAGGGTTACTGTGATATGATCTTTCCATTTAAATCCTGGAAGTTAACATTCAACATTATCGGTATTCCCAAACTTGTCTCCACCATGAAGCTGGCCTTTTTCTTGGTCATTTTTGTCCTCTTATTTCTGTCTTTAGTTTTCCTAGTATAGCACTCCCTTCAGAACTTCTCGAAGAGCTGGTCTGTTATTGGTAAATTCTTTCAGGTTTTGTTTATCTGAGACTGTTTCAGACTTTTCTTCCCATATGAAGGATAACCTTACTGGATATAGTATTCTTGGCTGAAATGTTTTTCACTCAACACTTTGAATATATTTTCCCATTCTTTCCTTGCTTGCAATATCAGACGAGAGGTCTGATATTAGCCCGGTGGAATAGCCTTTGAAAGTAACTTGATGTTTCTCTTGTCTATTTTAGTATCTTGTCTCTGTCTATGGTTTTAGTCAATCTAGCTATGATGTGCCTTGGAGAAGATCTTCTTGGGTTGATTCTATCTGAGGTTCTTTGTATTTCTTGGTTCTGAATATTTGAATGCCTTTTTAGGTTTGGAAAGTTTTCTTCTAGGATTTCATGGATTCGATTATCAATGCCCTTATTAGTTTCTTCACCTTCTGGGATACCGATTATTCGGATGCTTGAGCATCTAATGGTATCTAGTATTACTCGTATATTATGCTCAGTTTGGGGGGGTTATTTTCTCAGTCTTTTTGGTGAATTTTTCTGGAGCAGAGATTCTGTCTTCTATATCTGAGATTCAGTCTTCTGCATGATCTAATCTGCTTTTAACACTTTCAAGAGAGGTTTTGATTTCTTGAATTATAGCCTTCATCTCTAACATTTCCATTTTATTTATTTTTCGGGGGGGGGGACAGGTTTTTTCTATAGGGTGTGTGCACTATCCAGAAAGAGAGAGAGACAGAAAGTGAGAAATTACTCCCCAGGGAGGATGGCCATGCCACAGTCCCTTCTCCTCCATTCTCCTCTCGGGATCTTGGGCATGCACACACATGCTCCCAGCATGAGTTTAAGCCACCGGGTCAGGATTCAAACCACGGTCGACTATATTGGAGTCCTGCGACATAACCATTACGCCATCTACTAGTTCCCCACTTGATTCCTTTTTATGGTGTGTATTTCCTCTTTCAGATCCTGCAAGTTACATGAAAAATTAACATGACTTTTATAGTAAATGTTTTCTATTTGCCAACATTCTGCCAGTATTTTCCCAACACATAATCCTGGGCGGGGGGATTCATAAGCTTGTTTTCCTTTAAAATCTTCATATCTAATTCAATGGAGCCAATTTTTATTTACAAAACTAATATAATAACAAACGAAAGAAAAAGATTCAGAGCAGTATTTTGTAAAGGAGGGCATTCGAGTGCCATTACAGTGTGCCGTAGGTGAGGCACTGCTCTGTAGCACGTGGGGAGGAGATGGATAGACATAAATGGATTTTAGCCAAATGTGTGATTGGAGGAATGAAAGTGATTTATTTTTCTTTTGTGTGTTTATGTTCCAAAGAAAGAAAGCACACAAGCAGTTAACTGTTTATCAGGAGTTGGGGCTCAGTATGAGGTCTGGGCAAGGATTTTGGAAAAGTTCAGATTTGAAAATTTGACAGAGTAAACACTGCCAAGTGGACTGGCCTTTAATAGGAGTTAATATAATAATTGGCCTGGGAGTCTTAACCAAAAAAAGTAGAGGCTTTGAAGTGCTGGAAACAAAAGGAAAATCTCATGGCAGGTTTATTGGCTCATATGATCAGCGGCAGATAATAAACAACCAATAGGTCCAGGGCCTTCTGCTCTGGGGCAGAGACCTGAGTTTTGCAAACCATTGAAAGCTCAGCAATGTAAGTTGTCAAGTCATATATCATTCCGATGAAACAGGAGGTCGAAATCACTTCTAGTCTGAGACTGCTAGACCTGGAAGAGGTCTTCAGAGTCCCCTTAATCCATTGATTTTGGGTGTGGGGATACTGAGATCCAGATTTCTGAGGGTGCTTGGGACCCAGACCTGG